TTGAACCTATATTTCTCAGCATCAAGTAATCTTCATTTTAGTATTCTCTTTAGCATATAATTTAAAGAAGTTACAGAACCAGGCCCACAGCCTAGTGGTTAAGGAAGCAGGCCCCCACACAGCTGACTACGGTTTAAATCCCAGGACAGTAGCATGTATGAGTGTGCCTCAAATCCCGACAGGATGGGAAAGCAGAGGACAAGGGACTGTGGCAGGACCACTCCCCACGGGGGCGCTTTCACGCGCTCTCACTCGCTGTCACTCTCGCTCTGTGTCTTCAGCATTGCATGTGCTCCCTGGCAACTGAAAAAAATGCATATAGCACGGGTCATATGCTCCTTCTGCTTAAGGGCACGGCCCAGCTATAGTTCTATCTGCATTCCTAACAGTTTCCTCAGTGTGTCATAGAAGGTGCTCAGTGCATGTTCATTTTTTCCAATTGCCAAAGGACCTGTGTGCTCACAGAGAAGGAGACACACAGAGTGAAAAAGCATCTCCCAAAGGGCCATGGTCATGCCACAACCCCGTCTCCTCCATGTGCCCTGTTAGGATTTTGGGCATGCACGCAAACATGCCCAACATGTTTTCCAAGCTGCCAGGGCTGGGATTAGGAACATAGTCAGCCATAGGGGTAGCTCCCTTTTTTTTTTTTTTTTTCTCGAGAGAGTTTTGCTATAGGGCATATGCACTCACTGGAGAGACAGAAAGTGAAAAATCACCCCTCATGGGGGATGGCCATGCCACAGTCCCTTCCCCACCATTCTCCTCTTGGGATTTTGGACAGGCGCACAAACACACCCAACGTTAGTTTCAAGCTGTCAAGTCAGGGACACGAACTGTGGCTGTCCACACAGGACTCCAGTGCTTTAACTACTACACCACCTGCTGGGCTCATGGGGTAGCTCCCTTAACCACCTGGACATGGAGGCAGCCCAACGCATGTTCAACATAATAAGAGGAATTCTGCTGAAGACTGGAATCATAAACTTAATGACTGCCAAAAAAGAAAGTGGAAATTTCTCAAATAGGTTAATTTTGTTTCTTGTCAAGAAAATGGCATTTGAGCAAGACAGAGTATAAAGAATGGGCGCTAGGATAGGTGAGGCCACTGAGGCAGAGCTCTACGCGGCTTTAATGAAGTCCTCCTCCTCATGAATGGGACGGCGGGACTGCTGCCAGAGGGAGCAGGAGAACCGGAGGGCTGCCAGCGATGGAAAAGAGCAAATACGCGTAGGTCTAATTTAAAAAAAAAAAAAAAAAAAAAAACAGGAAAGACTGCCAATAGTCCAGTATACTTGACGTCAATCCCTTTCTAAATTTAGGTTATTTATTTTAAAATAGATTCAAGCCCGTTAGAAAACAGTAAGCATTTGTGGAACCAACCTGAGCTCTATCAGATTAATCTAGTTTCCTTTCTTTTTATAAGAGACAGCATGTATAAATAAATCATAGATCAAAAAGAAACAGCAAAAATCACGTGTTGGCAGGATTTCAACTGGGTATTTGACCAGGTCCTCATCATATCCCTACAGACAAGACACACATGAAATGGGTACAAAATTGGCAGCTAAGTAGTGATGGCAACAGCTCGTTACCGAACTGCCGTCAACCTGAAGGGCAGGTGTATCTGCGAGCTTCCAAACTAACTGGCCTGTTCCTGTTCAACCGTTTTATCACCAGGTTCACTACCGCTGGCATCTACTATATGTGAGACATGAACCTAAGGGGAAAACAGGTTATTTGTTATGGGAGAGCCAGGATCTGAAAACATAACGGTAAGCTTTAAAAAAAAAAAATTTTATAAAAAAGAATGAAAGAAAGAGAAAGAGGCCAGGTGGGGTACAACAGTAAGGTGCAGCGCTCTGTGAGGCTGAGCCATATGGAAAGGTTGCCAGTTCAAGTCAGAAGGCCTCCTCGAGTACACCAGGCACACAGGCGCCATGACCCAGGGCAGTAACAAGACCCTGTTGGAAGTAGTCTCCCTCTCTCTCCTTCTCAAAGAAAGAATAAGTAAATAAATGATAAAAAATACGTTAAGACAGAAAAATGGGCTAATTTTTTCTTTTAATTTGTCAGAGGGTGCATGTGCTTGCCAGAGACAGAGAGGGAAGGGGAACGGGGGAAAGCACCCCCCATGGGGCATGGTCATGCTGCAATCCCTTCTCCATCTCTCCCTCCCCCGGGGACCTTGGGCATGCACTTACACATACCTCGTGTCTCTCAACCAGGGCTCAAACTGCACTGTTGGCCGAGTGGAATCGGCTCTCTTAGCCACCAGACCACAGGTAATTTAATACAAAACAGTGTCTAAGAGATCAATACCGGTGTCCCGAAGCAGACAGAAAACTTTGAATTGCTGTGGCTTAAGTGTCATATGTTTAAATTAAAAAAAAAAAAATAGGGGCCAACAGGTGGTGTGGTGGTTGAAGCGTTGGACTCCCACATGGAATCCACACTCCCGTGTTTCAAGTCCTGGACCTGGCAGCTTGCTTTCTCACTTTCCCACGCTCTCTCTCTGTCTGTCCCTGTCATTCTCCGGTGAGCACATAGGCCCTGGAACAAATTAAAAAATAATCATCATGATAAAATTAAGTTAAGAGGCTGATGCGATGCTAGGTATAGCAGTCCTGACCTCTCAGACACAGAGGGGAGGAGCGGCTGTGCACCACTCGGACCACTGGGATCGTATCAGGAATACTATATGCCTTTGCTAGGGGTCAGAGTCTTCAAAGGAGCATGACCACGTTGGCACACATTCAGAATGACCAGGATGCTAGGAGCCTGGGCACTACGTGAAAGGAAAGGCCGGAGGGAGTGCAGATTTATAAATAGGATGAAACAATGCCTTGGAAGGAAAATGATAGCAATCTTTATTCAGTCCGATGAACATGAATTTCGAGCCTATTTCAGGAAAGACACTGAGAATGTACAGCGAGACTGAGATAAGACAGTCCATGACTGCAAGAAATTCGACCGTCTACTCAGATCTGCATAGAAGAAGAGCTAACACAGCCAGGATCTTAAACAAGGATTAGATTGTTCTCTACGATTGCATGAAGCATAAACAGGACCAGTGGGAAGAAGAAAGTAACCAATTTCAGCTCCATATAAACAACAGTCTTTTAAGAGTCCAGGGCTAATGAAGGAAGAACTGAGGAGACTGCAAGGCAGGAGTGATGGCGAACTTGGAGGAGGGTGCTGCTGGAATGAGGCACTGACCCCGGAAGGTTCTTAACAGTTCTCCCATTCCGCGCTGTGATGTTAGACTTCCCCAGGAAATGGACCTCTCCAAATTCACCCTACTCATGTATTTCAGCACCCCAGGTTTGCTGGGTTGCTGCTTTCAACTCTACGTTTCCCAGTAAAGCCATGCTTTCTAGTTGGGAACACATGAGGAATGATGAGGAAGAAAGTGACCCATGAGCAGAACGGAACACAAAAAGATCAATACCAGTCCAAGTCTCTTGTATTTGGAAGCAGAATGCAAGCATCTGCTATCCTCTAATTTCTAAATTGAAATTTAAGATTTCAATGAATATAAGTAAAGATTTGCTCGGTTAGTACACCTCTAGTTGTGTGCCATTCTTCTTTCAACTGGAAAAAAATAATAACTTAAGGCATTTGCAAGATTTGTATCCTAAATCAGCACTCCAAAGTCCTCTATTATAAGGTTATGCGGAAACTAGAGTTCATTTCTGAAACAAAATGATTCATCGGACATAGCAGGCCAGATACCATGAACTAATCAAATTGTGGGATTTTAATTAAATGGCTGCTTAAGCTTAATCTATTTAAAAATCGCATACAGGATACACAGCAAGTAAGGGCCTAGACCAGTTAGTTCTGGCTTTTATAAATTGGTGTAAGATGATTCAAGTTTACTTTAATCCACTTTATTTTGCAATTTTAAAACGGTCTCATATACTGGCTCTAAATGCTGCAACCGAGTATTTCAGGAGTTCGCCGTTTCAAACTGTTAATATTAACTTCTTGGAAGCAATCTGTCACACCTCAGCGCTTTCTCAATCTGAAAACAACGAATGGGACCCAATTCTATTTCCAAGGGCTCTTCCTTATTAACAGCAGCCCAGAAAGGCAAAAGTGAGAAAGAAAAAAAGAAGCATCTGTAACGACCAGCCCTGAAAAAAAGGACCCCCCTCGGGTTGCCATCCACTCCGCGACTCTCTGCCATTTCTCAAAACACTGCCTGGACGTTTCGGTTCGAAACGAAGAAAGAAAAATAGATTCCAGTTTTCCCGGGACGGGGAGGTCCCCTTCTGAAGAAGTGACCGAAGCCAGGTTCCCCGCGGGACATCATCTGGTTGCCAAGGAAGCGCCAGCCCGAGTCCTCGGCGCGAGGCGGCTCGGCGGCCCGGCGCCCGGGGCGGCCCAGCCTGCGGCAGAGCACGGGCTGGGCCCGGGACCCGCGGCCGGATCGCGACCCGGGAAGCCGCGCGGGCGCCCCAGGACCGCGGCGGAAGGCGGGGGGGCGCGGGCGCGC